TACTGAATTTTTGAGAGGGAAAAAATTACAATTGCCCCGTTGAGACAGCACAAAGACGAAACGAACTGCACAAGATAAAAGTTTTATCTTACATACGCACAATTTTATTCGAATTAGTCCTTTGCGACATTAAATTTAAAAAATATCCCGTTTATAAACACATTACTTTAATAAGATCTACATGTTTGCGCTTCACATTGCAAACCTTTTATTGACACGTGTCAGTTACGGTCGGCGAAGAGGGAAGCGCAAGTTTACTTTAATTAAAAGAATCGCTTCTGGACACGCATTAAAAAAATGTTTTCATTTCGGCACGCGGCCTAACGAAACAAAGCAACAAACTCTGAGTTGGATAAAATATGAAATATAACGATTTTAATTCGTTATGCATACACTCGTTGTTAATGTAGACATGTTGGTGGAAAACGTGCATTGCGCATCTCTAAACACACATTTCAATTTTAAGGCACACGTGGATGTCCGCCGCCGGAATAAAAATAAATTTCTTTCCTGCTTCCTGGGGCCAAGTTGGCGCCGCAAGTTTTAATTCACACGCGTACGTTTACTTGTTTTACAACATCGAATAAAAGTGTGTTGGCGCCGGGTTGAATTCGACTTGCTTTTCTTTCACTTCCAATGTAGGTATGCTAGAAAAATATTTTGTTTTCATTTTCTTATTTCTCAAGGGTGGTATGAATAAAATTATTTTTGCTAAGGTACAACGAATATTGAAAGTTAAACTTTATGCACTTACTAGACTAATTTTAATGTAAATAGTTTTCTGTTTGTAAATTAAGTTACTTTTGTTTATTTTTTTACATAAACTCTCTGTGAGCATTAAATTTTATTGGGGCGGCATTTTCAGACGCTGCCATCATTCGTTTTATACGTATCGTTACTTTATGCAGACGATGCGAGGAATTCTTCATCTGTCTGACATTAAAGTTTCCTATTAATAAAACCTCGAAGGACCAATCATTATGCGAATCTTTACAACCGTTTCAATTAAGACTAAGAAATTAATTAACTCCAAATGGTAATTAAAATTAAGTCCCCAATAATGACATTTATCAATTTATTAAGGTTTCCTAATATTTCATCAATCAACTGCAGATTCAATGAATAAAATAAGAAATCATGTGGAAGATGATTTTCGTTTTTTCAATCGCTCCGAAATAATATGTATTACGAAAAAGTAGCAAAGACTCACACAATGGGAAAAAAACTGATCATGTTTTGATATTATGTGCGCCGTGAATGATTGGTAAAGAACACAATAGCTGAAAACTATGCACATGCAGGAGCATAAAGAAGGGGCGCAAAACTACAAAGTCACGCTGGTGCCGACTGCATCTGAAAATCCAATCCAGTACACGTGACCCTTTCAATTTTTACAATTCTGGGGACTACGACGGGTCTTTCGCGTTTGATTGAAAGAACATCAGGGATTTATGAAACGAAATCGAAATATGAATCCACAGATAGACATATCGCAATAACGTGAAACCAAATATGGAACACACACGCGCTGTATCCGTTTTTGAATGTTTTTCTGTCTTTCCATCATCGATATCGCGATGCCTGTTTCAATTCTTTGGCCATAAAGGAACGTTGGCGATATGGGTGGTGCGTGTGTTTCCCATTTTCGGTATATATATTTTTTTCTAACCATTTAACATGATTTTTTTATGACCAAGAGACCCCGTCCACATGTGTGTCGTGCGGCACCACAGAAAAGCAGAAAATCATGGAGAACTAACGTAACGCAGTGCAGTACGTCGCCAATATGGTTTCTCAGATAAGATAAAGAGCGTGCAGGCGTTTCTGTTACGCTGCGACTTTTATGCTTTATGCATATAATGCACACGCATAAAAATTGATATTTATTTTCGAACTTCTGCTTTACTCGGGGTGGTACTTATGTAAATACACGTGCGACTCGGCAAAGTTGTGAAACTAAACAGATTCGTTTTAAGTGCAAACTGGATGTATGGGGGATGAAAGATTAATACGTAACCATTGCACAGCGCTTCAAGCGCGTCGAGATGATCAATCATAAAATATAAACGCGTAACGTGTAGGAAAAAAAGAAGTGGGAATCGTTTTAAACTCGCACGTTTCGGAAGGAAAACGAACGTGTGCGAAAGGGTGCTCGGTACAATTAGTGGCATTAGTAGCGCGTTTAAAAAACGAAAAACGGCGAAACAATGTGATATTCGGGGGCAAAACCAGGAGGCGATCAATCAACTTGACTTGTCAAACGCGTCTGTTAAGTTATTGCTAATATCCTACCACCTGGACATGTAAAAGATGCAGTTGTGCGAGTATTAAGCACTGAGGAGACGCAAACTGAAATTGTCGACGTAAAATGATTAAAAATTAAGTTTATGGTGAATATTTCAGTAAAGAATTTGTTTATGTCTGACATTATTTGCTTTTTGCCAGCGCTGAGATATTTGTGGCAACGGCAGATGTTGTAGCCTCTTAAAAGTCACTTTCCGCGACTTTCATCCCTTCGACATATTTACAACATGCGCAGGGGTGAGCGCAAAAAACGGAGCAAAACTAAATTAAAACTTCTATAGGTAAAAAATAATACAACACAAAGTTGTGTGTTGTGTGTTCTTCAAGCTTACAAAAAGAGATATTTTATAAATTAAAACTTCCCTCTCAGTATCGAAACGTTTACATACATCTGTAACTTTTGCGCTTCGGTGTACCTGCATGGAACTCATTTCAATATAAAACTAATAAAAAATTTCGCAACGAGAAGGAAAAAAAAAACGCAGCGGAATTAATAATAAGCACAACGTTTTTTAAGCGCGTGCCGCGTGTTGTGCTTTGTTTGCCATCAAAACCATCAAATCAAATTCACCAGCTGTAACTCCACACCGTGCATCTTTTTCTGTTCTCTTTTTCTCTTTCGCTCAGACTCTACTTGTCTACCTTGTTGGAAGGTGTCCGCATTGCGTTCCACGCTACATGTGTAACTCTGCGATTTTTTTAAACCATAAAAACCACCCTGATATTACAAGAAAATTGCGCTCTGCAACCAATACGGGTGGGTTGCTATTTTCGACGGTTATGCTCTCGGGGCATTGCGTTTTTACGACTCGACCGCATGTTGTTGCGATGCGCATGCTAGAAATAAAAATATAAATTACTGAATTGCAAGGATAGATCAATTTATACTTCGGTGGTGAATACGTGTATATTATCATTGCTCATTTGGGAAATAGCCTAGCGAAACTTCTGTTATATGTAAACTTGCGTGAACAATGCTGTCATATCAAGTTACACACATCATATTTTGATTTTTGCCTTTATGTTCTCCTCTCGTCACTCGTAATGTTAATATTGCTATACTGGAATACTGGGGCTTTGAGTTTGCTACAGGACAATATTCGATTGGATTAAATTACTGTATCGTATGAGTGCATTATGAGGGGTGATGATTTTATTTTATTTCTATATATGAACACAAAAAGTTAGATTTCTTAGATTTTTCATCAATATTGTCCAAATTTTTGTGATTCTGTAAGCGCATTAACTGATTATTCATCAAAACCCTGTTGAATGACGTGAAGGACGAGGGTGTATGCAGTTCATAGTGTTATAAATGCGATTTTGAACGTCACAATCGTTGCGTGCGCTTTATCTGTCCATTTCCGTGGAGAGTGCATATTCCATCCAGTGGATTTGTTTGTATGGCATTTGAGTACGAGGTGTAGCATTTGATCAGGGTTTGCCAATCGCAATTTCTCGTTCTGTACGCCCTACAGTCAACATTGGTTTTACAAAGACATTACGTGGCTCACAGAGTGTGCGGTGAGGGTTGAATGAATGTTTGACATATAAATAAATTTTATTTAAAAGCTAATGATTTTATTTTTACACACATTATGATAAAATTTTAAGTATTTTAAGTTTTTTTTAATTTTAATTTTCACTTAGTTCAGTAAGGTTACTAATAGAAATGCTTCCAAAAGGAAATAATCATAAATAAAAACTTTCTTTTTACTTCTCTCGCCTTTGGCCTCCAACGACCAGCAAGGGGATATTAAAAAATATGTTTTTTTAAGGGTAATAAATTCTGATTTGCGATTAATGGACGTGCCGAAGCGCCGCGTGTTAATTGCTAGATTTTTAGATGTTGGGGTGGCATTTTTTTTCGTTTTGGCATTCGAAGCGCGAATCCAGGGGTTCAGGGCGTTCTGTCTCGATAGGTAATAGCCGACGACGGCTGAAACTTTTGTCATGGGGGTGCGAGGGCGCGACCCGGTCGTCCATATCTTGTGGAAATGCGACGCAACGAGCACGCGTCAAAACAAATAGCTTTCGGTTTTCGAAGCGGTCGCCCAGGCGTATTGAGTTATATTGGAAAGGAAATGAAGCTAATAAATCAAAAGAGAGCCCAGCAGCGTATTTGTGGATTGAGTGAGCAAGGGTGTGTGTACATACACATTTGTCCACTGACCAACTTTGATACAAAGTGTTCACATTTCAACATCTTTATCAAATGATAAGAGGTATACAATATTAATATCGATCGTTGTTTTCTGTTCACTCTGTAGATTTGGTTGTGATTGTTGAGATATCTGATATTTTGCTACCGGAGTTGAGTTGACCCGGCGATTCGCTAATGGACATTGCAATACGTTCGTGGAAAAAGTCGCGCTCAATAAACTTGTTATCACAGCAATATTAAGCGGAAATCGAATAATACCAAACAGAGCATGCAACGAATGTAAAACCTTGAAAGAACAGACCACAATTGTAATTGACCAAAATTGGTTTCCTATTATAAAATTACCTAAAATGATGATTTATTACAACTGGAAACGTTGAAATTAATGCGAGCAAATTGATGTAATTGGGGAAGTAGTGTAGCTTGAGGCATGCATCAAAAAAGTGGTTTTAGATAACCGTTTGGGCATTGTGAAGGGTATAGGGTAGAACAACCGAGTCTTTAAACGCAGTAATTCTCTACTATTTTACAGCTCCAGGCCCGGTCGACCACCGAAGCGAGCGCCAGTGGGTCTCAGCTTGGCGGCGTCCCACCTCCAGCACCAACAGATCAAGAAACATCGCCTCGACAATGGTGACTACCCCTACGAGAATGGACATATGGGTATGCTGTATTTTCAATATTTATCGGCATTTAATTGATGCACCACACGCACAAACATTTCGTTTATTGTTTCACCCCTCAAAAGGGTTTAACATGTACAAATAAGCAATAAACATTTTATTTGGAGATAATTAATAAAGCCCCACGCAGGTTGAAATAATTGCGAGCACACATTGCGCGCAAATTGAATATTATATTATATTGGCACAATGCGAGCCGGAAATAATTCTTCCTGCGGTGAATCCCTGCCATTTACACTTCGGTATCTTTGCATACCATTGCATTATTCTCACATTATTTACACACTCGGTTTTACCTATTTATTCGCGGCGGAAATAATACCTGAATGTGTGATGTGAAAAGGGTGAATTCAGTACGAGCCGTTTGCAGAAAAATCTCCTTCTCGTACATTCCGCACTCCCCGATCGAAACGGTCGCCGGTTGTGTCCTGAACCTTAATTACGATTGTGGTCGCTTGATATCGCCGACAAAAGGCTTTTAATAACTGAAATATTCCGTTAATGTCGCCACGTATCGGCGCGCCAAACGATAAATAATTTTCGGTATTTATATTAAATTAATAAAACCAATTTCGCAATTAACACACGCATTATTGCTTTGTGCTAACATACCCACGTAAAATATCAAAGACAAAGAGACAATAATCGAATACCATAGGCTTATAATCTGGCTTTATCGTAACATCATGAATAAATTCACAATTTTTCAGGGAAACAAATGAAATAAACATTAGGGGTTGTGCAACCCCAATTACACACGTGAAACAGCAATTTGAAGACATGCAAAATTACAGCCTAAATTACAATCAGCTACTGCAGTTACAAATAGACGTCCAACTGCGCATTATAATTTGTTTATCGTCGTTTCTACTTCACGGCGTGTTGTCCATTTATGGCCATTTTTATGTATAGCCGGTAACATCTGAAACAAACAATTAAAAACAAATTTAATGCGAGTTAATGCAACGTTTATGATTGCGTTAACGTCGCTAATCTTATGTTTTAAATGTATTTTTTTGTTCTTCGACGTCGGTTGCTTGCATTTTAGCATGCGGTGTGCAGTGTTGATGGTCACTTTTATAGTTCTTATAATGCACACGAGAATACTTGCATTTGGAGCGAGATAAGCCTCTCGTACACGCATATAAAATATATAAAACAGCGCTTAAATTATGCATGGATCGGCGAATAAAAAATATAAAAATAAAATAAATTATGGTTTAATTAAGTTTCGGCGCTTGAGAGTTTACGTGTGAGTGTGTGAATGCGACGAATGTGATATCTGAAATGGACATAAATGTAGGTAATGCGTTTGTCGTCGGTTCGCACTTTTATTATTATTACATTTTATTAGTTTCGGTTATTTCTGTTTGCCGATGTGCGCCTGCCAATTACGGGCGGATGCCCCGCTGACGATACGACGACTCCGCTGTATTTGCGCCCCGATAATCGGCCGTCGCGCTCGTCATCAAAGTCGTATAACTTAATCTTGCTGCGAGCCAGAATGCGACTCTCTGTCGGCACTGATACGCGCGTCATTACGGCGCAATCGTAAACGGCGATTTTCGACTTGATATCGAAAGGATCATGGTATTGCTCGCGTGTGCACGAGATAAAAACTGAACTGGACGCTGCAGCATGGTGTTGATGATGAGTTTTTCGGACGCAATTGTAGAAGAAATAAGTAATAAAGCTAATAAACCCAAAAGGAAGTCGGATTAAATGCGATAAACGCGCATCATTTGCACCATTTCATCTTGACTTCATTTTTTATATACAAAGTGTCCTGAATTCATTTTAATTATAAAATTTTACTTTTGTTGTAAATGTAATGTACGAATGGTTTGTAGAATATTCGATAAACATGTTTGTTTTCCACGTTGGCACATGACAAGACACTAATAAAAGCGGCGCGAGGGTTGTAAATAAATAAAATGAAGGCTTGCAGCGATCTTCACGGCGCGCCGCCCCGTCTCTCCATTAGCGCCGCGATTAAATGACGAACGTAATACTCGCCATACGCACACACGTTAACTATCGAACATGAAACGGAACATGAAACGAAGCGCGCGAAGCCATCAACAGCAAGAATATGGCGGCGGCGGCGAGGACGAATACGACTGGAGCGATTAAAAGGGCAAATGAAGAACATAACTGAACAAAATAAACCCCATAAAGCAAAATAAACACGACGCACACAACAGGCGCACGATTTTCTTTCCCATTACCAATGTGCTTCGATGTCTTCTTCTCGCGGCGCAAACGCCGGGCAATAAACGAATAAAATCAAAAAATAATTTAATTATATTTATCATGTTTTATAGTCGACTATAAATGGTCGTCATTCACGTAGGAATTCTTTGTCTCCCTCTTCGCTTGTGCTTCACACTTCCATAGCCGATGGTTCAGGTCTTATTTCGCTTGTTTCAATAAAACAGAAGTGTAGAAGTGTATGCACAAGTCTGGCCTGGAGTCGCGTCTTCGGCCAATGTTACAATCCACACACGACGGGTTTAATTATCTCTTTGTTGGTTTGTTGTTGTACGTTTACCTTTGGAGCGTTGTGGCTGGGTCATGTTGATCTATTTCGCTCGTAAAGGTATCATATCTTTTGGCGCGTTTATGTGTCTCCCATAGTTATAAATTTAATTGTATCAATCACCACAAATACCAAAACTAATAATAATTGGTACTGTGGGATAAAATATTTACTTTATTTTATGTCTGCTTGAATATGAACACCAGAATTACTTACAACAATAGTTCAGCATAACCCGCAGGGGATGTGGTGGTAGTTTGTGCGTATGATGTATAAATGTTTGTATTTGCTGGGGCACATGCATGTGTATCATATTCGCCGTCGTGTTTCATTGAGATACAGATTGTAGTTATTACGTATTGCAATTGGGGGGCCGCATTGTTGGTAACTCCTGCGCGCGATAGTCAGGACGATTCCGATTGTTGCGCCCATTGTGCACGCAAGGACATGTCATAATGCCCTGACGCGTGCATGTGAGGTTTGACGTGCGAATCGTGCGATATGCAATAATTCGATTTGATGCTGAACGCGTCATCGCATTGTTTAGAAACGTGATTTAATCAAGCTTAACTGAGACCACAACCAGTCAATGCAGTCAAAATTTACTAATTAAATAGATTCGATGGTTATAATTGGAAAAAGTGTAATTTCAAACTCAATTAACGGTTAAATTTTAAATCGAGTTGATTTGTTGATTCAAGCGATGGGTTTTTCAAGTATTGGCAACTGAAATGTTTTCTCGTTAATGCAACCAGATTGGTACTGGTTTGCAATGAGTGCACACGAGTGAGTCAAGCAGAAATGCAGTTGGTTAAATGGTGGTCTCGACTATGCACTTCGCTTTGTGCATTCGAATATGAAAAGTAAACAGAATGATATGAAGTATGATATCATATTACAATTGCATCCATGGAAAGGGCCCGAACATTGCGCCGCGCGCTCGTGTGTTTATTGTGTGTGCACAATGTAAGGGGGCTGTTTGTTGGCTGCGCGAGTCAGTCCCACCACATCATACAGTCTGTTATTTAAAATAAATAAAACTGTAAACGTTGAAAAATCAATCTAGATCTACATTAAACACCCTGTAAGATTGCACACGAAAGTTGGGTGGGCCTTCCACACAAGTTGCAACAGAAAATTTAATACCTAAACCACCACGACAGGGTGGAAACACAGAAAGGAATAAAAAAGAATATAATGCACATGCAACATTATTGTTATTTCATTATATGTTCGACGATGCGCGCATATCGTTAATGCTTGATTAAGTTTCAGAACCTTTCAAAAAAAGCGCGCCTGGCGATCGAATACCGCAGAAAAAAATTCGAAGCTTCATTTGTAGCGCCGCAACTTCGGCAGCAGGGTGGGGATGTTTTTTTTTGGGCAGGTTCCTTTCATCAAAATTTATATAAAAAAAAAATTCGACAAATTTCGTGTGCTCATTGCATTGTGAAATGTGCAAAGACAAGCCGTGTGCCAAAACTGCATCAGACAAAAGCCAACGAAATGCAACTCTTGTATCGTTTCTTTTGTCACTGTTTTATAGCACTTTGTTTTTGTTTTTGGAGAATTTTTTATCATGCGGTGAAAATTCACGGGAGGCGATTGAACTCTCCAGCCGAATAATAAAAGCGGTCATCACTTTATGACACGATAAATAATAAGGGATGAAATAAAAACTCAGGACGACGGAATTGCGAGACGACAACTTTGCGCGCCGCGAGTCGGCGACCATAACATTTCTGCATCGTGAGTTGTAAAACGCTTCATAGTTTTAGGACGCAAGCGCGTTCCAATCCAATAATAATTAAAACCGATCGTTAAAAATAAAAGCGTCCACTTTTGATAATCGCCCAGCGCGGAGTTATAACTCGCATTCGAGTTCCATAAATTTAAGAAATTCGCCGAAACGATCAGTTGTAAAACACTTCCGAATAAATAATAAACCCAAGACAAGATACGCCATACCTAAAAGAGAACATTTTATAACTTTACAAAACCTAAAGAATTTGCATTTGCGTATAAAAATTCATTCGCTGATCTTTTATTTGTGGATTCAGGCTAATGCTCATCTTCTAATTACCGGTTGTCACTGCTTGAAGAGGTCTGGCAGCGTCGGCGTTCGGTTTTCATTATTCCTGCGTCTGTTATGCCGTCTGTCTGTTTCTCACCGTTTTTCTTATTCTTATTATACACTTTGTCGGCCGTCTAGTGTTCATGTATCAAACGCACCGTAAATAATCTTTCTCAATGTGATGCTGCATATGATGGAAGATGCATTTTAATCCTTCCAAATGGAAATACAGAAACAAGACGAACGCAACAAATGAAGAGAGTAATAGGGCATGACTATCTGCATCTTATCCATAAAGTCAAAGTAAAAATAAAATATTGAAAAGGGTTTTACACATATACAAATTTATTTTTACGATTAAAAGATTTAATTCAATTTAAAATATAAAACTTGAAAGATTCATAGATTGAGTTGGTGATATTTATTTAAATTCGACTTTAATCGGTTTAAATAATTAATGTTGGTGTTGGAAATAAATAAAATGTTGTTATGTGTAGCAATTTGAATGGTATGTAATTTGGTGTGAGCAGTGAGGACACTTGGCGTGATATAAATTACGCTAATGGAGGGTTTTCAGCTCAATGACCAAAACCACAATCCACAAACCCTAGTATTTAGCGCTAACCGGTCCGTGCATTTCGGATCTGAGTCTGAGCGAGGTGCGCACACTAAGTGTAGGCTTTTAATTCAATGGTCGCCCGTTCGACCACAATGATAGCAATCCGAGTAATTACTAATGAATAGGTCACAAAACGGTTACACATTATCTCCGTCTTCTTCGTTGTGGCCACCAGCCGGAATGACAAGCGTTTTTTTGGTCGGACTTTTTCTACTTCTCGAATTTCTTGCCTTTTTAGCCTCTCTCCCAAAGCGGCCAGACTTCACGGTTGTTTAGGCCCTGAGGGGCAATCGAATCGGACGTGGTGAAGACCTGCGAGACCCCAATCGAGAGAAAAACATTTCAGTCACACATACAAACATACGAACGCTACAAATGTATATCAAAGAAGAGTAATTTAGTTTTGATTCGAATTCAATTCTTTTTCGTTCTTGGTTTGGTTCAAGGTAAGCGAATGTTTAGGAGTTTAAGTGTTTCGATTATAGCAATTTCAAATAATTCCAATGTCGGGGTGCGTTATTATTATCATCGCGAACAGGTTGGGTAAAATAAATGCGGCTGTTAAATGGATAAACGGAGTGGCGATGTGCTGAACCAACAACAGCCCGCAATCGGCATGACGATCGAAAATTGCCGCGTTAATATTAAATTCACCGTCGCTTTACAGTTCGGTTCTGTTTCTGTTTTCCACAAGTGTTGCGTTTATAAATCGACATCGGCACCTATATCTTCCACACCGATCGATACCACGTGACAAGCGTACGCTTTGCCTGATCGTACACGTAATAAATTGAAATAATGGCACCAATTTTAGAAAATTGGGCAAGTCCGTTTAACAACAGCACAGCTATTTCGTATCATACCTGGACGCATCGCGCCCGACAATTTGAAAGATAACAACAGCAATAACAACAATTACCTCCCAAAGAACAGCGACCCACCGGCATTTAATTGAAACGGTTACAAACCTGAAAATTGCTCTTTACATAATTCTCCAATATCTTCGAATGGCTATTATTTCTGCTCCGGATTGGACAGTTTAAACATGTTTTTGTTGTCCCACAGCGAGAAATAAACGGCAATCTATAACAAAATCAATTCGGAAGATTCACACAAAAGAAATTTGATTGCACCTTACCGCAAGTTGAATTAGACGGCGAGCAGCACAAAGGAGCGCGCGGCGTCATGTTGTTAAGGGGCGCCTGGTCGTCTTTTTTTGCTTTATACCTCTTAGTTGCTTAGTCATTAAATCAATAAATATTACGGATCGCATCGCAAAGCGAAAAAAGCCGAACCATCGAAACGCTATTAATTTTTGAATTAATGCCTTAATTGCTGAATATTAATTCACATATGACTCTTCTTCTTTGGTCGAATTCACATTGTCAGTCATGCTTTTTGTCTTTGTTGGTTTTTTGTTTTAATTTCATGCAGATTCATTGCTTCTTTATGGTTTAAGCTCACAGGAGGCACAAACTATAGTGGGGTTTCTTTGTTATATGAATGTAGATGTTTAAAATCAACAACTTTGGTTTCTGTTCTCTCTGGGTTTTATTCTTTACACAGAGAATTCAAAAGGTGCGCGCACGCGCTTCAAATTGCGCAATGCTTAATGCATGCGCACGATTAATATCCACATAGAAAGCTGTTATTAATCGTCAATATCCGTCCGATGAGAGCGATGCAAACGATGAGACGTTACGATTAAAAATCTACTGGCCGAGGAAAATGTGCGTTTCCTGCCTTCTGGTCGGGTCGCGTTGCTTAAACGCTTGCCAACCATCTGACCAAGGCAAACGCGTCCATTCTTTCCACTCCACTCGTAGATCAAACCGATTAATAATTTGTTGTATTATATACGTTTTTAATGTGCAAAGCACACACACGCTCCGTATCAGATTAAAGATATCTAATTGCTCGTTGAAAAGGCGAATAAACACAGTGTTGTAATGGTTGTAGGTGCAGACATATTATAAGTATACCCAACTAATTGCATAAAAAAGATAAAATTTATTGTAAGGAATGGTAACATTCAGTATATTGGAACGTCTGCAAAACACCTCGCGAATTAATAACGCCGAACAATTTTGTCAGAATGTGAGAATGCGCAATTATATTGGTTGGCTGGGGCGCTCGGACTTGCAACGTGCAAACGCGCATAAATATGAATACGAAAGATGAAAAATTCAAGCCAACAAAAGTGGCCGCCCTACACTACTTGCTTGCATTTTATAATTCCGACAACAAGGGCGACCAGAGACTGAGCGGCGATCATGCCGGTCGCATATGGGATTTTTATGGAAATTAAGAAAATTCTTCGGTTGCAGGTAAAACAAAGTGTAAAAAACACAATAAAATTGCCGCAAACTATAAACGAGAGCAAGTTGCGAAACAAATTGGTAATTGCCAAACAAAAAGACAAAAAATGTTTCACTAGACTATTTATAAATTATATATTCATATTAATATTTACAATTTCCGTTGTTTTGAAACAGTGACTGATTGACAAATGAAAAATTATCCACACTCATTGAAAAGCTGTGTATTGATGATTTGGAACATTTTTTAAGACCAGCCCAAATCATGAGACGTCGAAAGCGACTCGTCAAAGAAGCGCTCACCCAGAGATGCGATGATTAATTATTGCAGCTAGGCGCCACGGCGCATACACAATAAACAGGAAAAATAATTAGGTTTCTGTTATTTTAGAACCTCGCGCACGCCGTGGCATCATCCTCGTCAGATGTATACAAACAGATATTTTAATTAAACTCGGGGATGGTGTGGTGTGTATTGTATACGAATGTGTTTGATGTGTTTCTCGTCTTGTGTTGTGTGTCTGATGTGTGAGCGGCGTGCATCGGCCAGAAGGTAGTAAAACTTTGTTAGAACGTTATCATATACCGCGCGCGATGTTGGAGCCGTGAGATGATTGGATGATATTTATATACCCGACGCTGGTAAGGTTAGGTTGGTTGTGTTGTTGGCGGCGATGAAAAGAGAAGTTGATGAAAGTGATTAGGAAAGCACCCTGAAGAACGTGGACGTGAATACGATTTCCCTTCGCAATGTTACGTTTGAATGCGATGGCTGCGTCACGAGTGACGAGTGGATGCGGCGCGAAACTAGAGTCATCAATCAAACCGGGGGGCCCTGCTCCTTCACGCGGTGGTGTGGTGTCATTTGCGAAACGCCGTTGTTTCGGTTTCGCATGCTGATGATGTACGATTTAAGCATGAGAAAAGTCTGAAACGCTTTGTCTGAAGCGCGCAGGCAATTAGACCTAAAATAAAAGTCTACTTGGGTGTGGAATTGAGAAATTAACCTGGTCGCTTTGTTATGCAGATATGTCACGACTGGAGAAATCACCGCTGTTGGCGAATGGATACAATCATCCGCCACATTTGGGACATATGCAATTCATGGCAATGCCGCATCCAGCCGCCGCGCATTCCGCCCTCCTATCGCCGGCGATGCCACACAATTTGGGTCGACATGACGGACCTGTGATCAAGAATCAGGGCATGCCATCAATGGAGGCTATCGCCAGGTAAGAAAACCAACATTCACACGGTGTAATAAATCAATAAATTAATAAATAAATTAATTGCTCACAAATCATTGCCAGTGACATTTGACATTCGACATTTAAGAAAAAGTTACTTAACATTTTTGCACTTGATAAATATAACAAGTTTTTTTGTGTCTCTGGTCGTGTTAAATTTTGTTATGAATCCAGAAGACGAACCAAGGGGTTACCTGGAGAATTAATCACCGCGCAGAGTATCCGTCGTGACGTGTACACGCATCCAGCGCCGTGGATTTGCATTTTAATTACGAATACGTACGGGCGAAGCGCGAACGCGCGTCGAAATGATAATGACGACTTGAAACAACGGCAAGGAGCGAAGGACGACGAGTGTGCGCTCCGAGTCGGGATTAGAGCTTTCCTAGGATCAGTTTCAACCGAAATGCATTTATACGTGCGAGGTCAAGTTTTCGTCTTGCGTCTTGCAGGCAGATAACGAGACGCATGCATAAGAGCATAATACAAGTCCTACTAATCCACAGTCGCGGCATGTGAAGTTAAAGTGCAAACGGGATTCGCACGTTTCGTATTGAATATAATTAACCTCAAACACACAACTTGACACCGCGCAAATGAAGATGTAGAAATATCTTTCACTGTAAAATGAGTTATTTTCAGTCTGTGTATATGTGTCGAAAACGAATCGTTGAAAACAAATACACTTATCAGTCAGACATTGGTGTTGGAATAATTGTATTTGCATTATCGCATATTGTGCATTGCTGGGACGGGAGAGAGAGTCGGAAAAACGTGTGGGACTTCGGCAATTCCGTAAGCCGCTTAGCGTGTATTTTGTTGGCCTCTAACTGTACGAGTTAACGAGCGCACACCAATCCAATTTGACATCCGTGCACACGAAACAAGCGAAAGCCGCGCTCAAAAGGCTCAAAGTGAGCGTTTTTTATTTTCGCTGAATGCAAAAGTTTAAAATCACATATGAAATATGAAAAATACATATAATTAATTTACTTTATTTGTATTTGCAGATCTGGTATCTGGGAAAATTGCCGAGCAGCATACGAAGATATCGTTAAACATCTTGAAAGGTACGTTTTTCTTAAATTATGTTAATTTTAATATTGAACTCATAGTTGGTTAAGAATAGCATGCTTGAATAAATGCGGATCTGTAGAAAGTCATTTTGTGTTATTGTTGCATTCACAAAGAAATATATCAGGCATCTCCAGTCTGATTAATAAAGAAATGAAATGGAGATTGAAGATCGTAGACGTCTCGCAGGTAAAACCCTGCCAAAGTATTCCTCTCGCTGTTTACACACACACACATACAACGTCGAGTCCTTGTTGCACGCTGGAATAAATCATACGTTGAAATAAATTGGTTTGCATTGTAGCATGGTTTGTAATTCAATATTGACATACGATATTACCAGTTGTCGTGTGCTGGCGTCCCTCTCGCTTCTCCAATGAAGGCGAAACAAACGAAACGCGACATGCCGAGAGAAACGCAAGAAACGCACGCATACGGCGAGTTAATTAACAGATAGATTATGTGCGATAACATTTCGCCAATATCGAGTCGCACGCATTATGCTTATTTGTATTCGTCGCTTCTTCGCTTAAGCGGATGAAGAATGAGGCTCGGTATGAACGAGTGTATGAACGCCAAAAGGAAATCGTTAAATGCATTGTGTATTAAGATTAATTGTTGCGGCGAGCGACGGGAGCTGGCTGGCGCGTCGGTGGCGTCTCGTCCTTATCAGTTTCGGTAGTCCGCGAGACGCAAACAGCACGCGGTCCTATTCAAACATCCGAACGTGCAATATCATTCGGCGCGCTGATGTTAATGGCGAGAATTATAGACTTACAATCTTTTTCTTTCGACCGCATCGCCCTCGCATCGGCGAAACGCGGCGCGTAATGACTCGCGTCCCCAACGCGCAAAGAAATTTAAATTTTCGAGGTGTGCGAATCATTAATTATAATATCCGCAAGAGGGTGATTTCCACAACGCGTTCTAAATGTATCATTTTTACTCGCACCTTGGAAAACGCCCTTTTTATTGTGATTTATTCCGATTCTCTTCGTTTTCATAATGGTAATTCCTTTTACTTCCTACAACGCTAGCAAGGAAAATAACGTAGACGGTGAGAGCGCCTGAAATCCCAAAAATTCGTAATGTACTCGTACCTTGACTTTGCCTTATGGGGCGAAATGAAAAAATAGGGAATTTGTCGGAGTGAATGTGTACATCCCTCGCGCGCACGCTAATAATAATGCAATTTTTCATGTAAATTTCATCGTGCCAAATGGCGTGCGGCGGCGTGTTATTGCTCTCTAAACATCCCGCAAACTGAACTCTTAGGGGAGCCACGACGACAGACAGAACACGCTGATGATTCTTAAAATGTCTTCGCAAAAAATATATGCGTGGCAGTTTGCATTTAACTGAATTACAAAGTCAATGAAAGGAAGAAACATTACGCATACGAAACGAGTCCCATCTGCGTTGAACCGCATCAGTCATAACTTTTATTCATTTTTAAAACCTACCGCAATTTTTTATATTGTTTTGTTACGTAAAAATACTTGTGCTGGTAAAGCAATTAGTTAATTATTGTTATTGGCGATTCGCGTGCAATCGAATATTATTTATTTTGTCTGGCTGCGAGCAAAGGGAGACCTCAATAAATATAAATATTTCTCAATCTTCTGTACTGCTTTGATTCACTGTATGAATACTCAGGCGTCCAATGCAAAGTGATTTAAAGTCCGGTGGCAAAAACTCCGGGTGTCTGTCTGATCATGTTCTGTGCGGTTCCCTTGCCTCCATCCAGAACTGGCTACTGTTGCTCTCTAAACTAAACGATCTGCTTTTTATTTTTCGTCATGAAACAACATTGTTACGCTTTCAATATATGCAAGCGTATAATATCAGAAAGGCAATAAATTACCAACGATTTATGCGTGTTTTATACACACACAATCGGAATGTATCTCGCATGCAAGCATATCTGCATTTACGCAAATATCGTTTAACTTTTGACGACGGGCGCAAATGGCAACAAATCAAAATTAAGTGTCTCGTCGGCGAGTTTCAAGCGCGCTCGCATGCAGAACATGAACATGATGGGGGTTTATGTAGTCTATTAGTTGGCGGCGATGTTGTAGTAGTAGCGTTTTGCGTCGCCAACTGCATATTTGTCACGGCGACACTGTCGGATTTGGTCTCGTCTCTCGCGGGGCGATATTCGCCACCCCCTCACGCTGTTGCAAAACCGTTTTAAGCTAAGCTTATGTTATGTTACGCACGTTGCGTGCCGCTCTCGGGAATGATTTGTGTGACGCGCGAAAACGCCGGATCACTTTGAATAATGTCGCACGTCGCATTCGATTCCAATTCAGGCGTTTTACATCCAATCTACCAAAACAACACCATTATCATCAAGAACATGTCAGAAGTAAAGAACTTTATTTGGAATTTAATTGCTTCTTGGGGTTTGTCAGGAGTAAAATATATTGCAATCAACTGGTCCACAATGGAGACAATGGGAAATCAAAAGTTGCGACAGATTTATGTCCACTTTAGGAAACCACGCAAGATTTTCTAGGTCCACCAAGGAACTATGACTATTACTATTGCTGGTGTTATACTTATAGACCCCGGAAAAAGGAACGACCACAGCAAGAAGAGCAATGAAATAGAAGGAAGAACGTTTTCTATTACGTTACTGCAGGGTGTCGGGATTAATAACTGTGCGACCGTGACGTTTTATGTCCTTACAGCACGCTCCACATAGAACTTCATAGACTACGTGCTAACACATTGGCGAGTAGTCTAGTAACCAACCCTCTTGGGCTTAATGTTACGTCGTACAAGTGTTAGTTGGTACACTCGAGGCAAGGAATCATGAAACAAGAATTATTGCGAGATATATCGGCGTCGCAGCCGGAATATTTCCTCATTAAATTTCCGGTTGGCACGCTTTATTTATATAGATAAATAAGAAATAAATATAAATCACGGTTGTCTACGCGCTTCTTATTACTTTTTCTTTTTCATCTGACACAAAACAATTACTTGCATGGAATTTATAAGTTATTTAGTTTTGAAAGTCTGCACTGCGCATTTAATGCGAAAAGAGGATTTACATTTCAAAAGCTTTAAAAGTTAATTTAAGAAACCCTTTTTGTATGCGGGATGCGACACGAAGTGTGTTTGGAAAGTCGAAACTCAATGCGAGGTTAAAAACCACCCTAGAGTTTTGTACTCGATTATAACATTCATCGACATCGACGTGTCCTTTCGTGTTCCATAAAAAGCACGCAATTTTGTTGGCGAAAATAAATATAAGTTGACTGTGCTGCTCCTTGAAACTTGAAACATTAGAACTTGACAGTAGAAGCACCTTCTCGTCTTCGGCGACGCGCCAGTACTTTTAATCATCATTTCAAGATCATTAACAAATGCTAATTGAAGATCGAATTTGCCTCTCGACTTTTTGCCATTTCTTTTGCAGTCGCTTACGTTCCCTCAATTTGTCTCAATTTACATTTGTAATTTACAGCGGAGAGGCACGGCATGTGCGAGACAGGGCAATAAACAAAAGATGTTAATGTAAATGTAAAGTAAATGAAGAAAATTGAGAACGACGACTACTAAATTTACAAACTGGCGAATGGCGATGGGCGAGAATAAAATAAACAAGAAAGGAAAACGAAAACATGTCTGATAATACAATTCTCTGCGGCCGCAGCGACTGAATTATAATTGCAAGACGATAAATTATAAATCAATAATAAAATTGAGCTCGTGTTAACAACTATAGGGTGTTGCCACAATCCACGTGTGCTTATCTGCTTATTTATTTTATACTCACGCGCATGATTTGCTCGGACAATGAAAACAAAACGTTGCGCCATGCGTTTGCAACTTTTTGCATTCGCTTTCTCGTGTTAGAGATGCGTGCGGAGATTTTTCAAAAAACTTAATTACAAAATCACGCCCACCTCGTAAATAAATCATCATGCCAAGCGCACAACCTGCAACAACTCCAAAAGAATAATCAAATACACAAATGAAATTCAATATTTTACTTGTGAGTAAAATAAGAATAACTGCAACAATTTATTTAACTTTCGCAACATCTATAGTAAAATACCTGCAATTAGTGTTGCTATACTTCCTAATTCAGAATATCGTTTTATTGTGCCATCAAGATAGCCATGATGGTGTCAGGTGATTCATTAGATATGCAAATTGTGTAAACAAATAATAATGTTGTTAAAATACGGTTGTAAATGTTACAACAACGTCTGGAGGCGCGTTAATTAAGCTTCCATATCTCGGTCACTTCCATTTGTATTCAGATATAAGCACCGCAATGTTAAAAATTATTAGGAAATAAAAATTTACCGAAAAAATAATTACACGGATTCTTTCCTGTTGGGTGTTAAACATTTGAGTGCTAACGTTATCCGAACTAGAATCGAGCGTTCACTGAGCATGGGATTTCTTATTTTAACACAAATATGAACAAAAAATACAATAAAACACCAATCAAAAAGCGGCGCAGTGCGCTTAATTCTCTTTTAATTCAGTTTGCAATTTTATCAAATTATCCAAAAACGATTTAGCCCTTTTCGACCTCGCCCCAAATTGGAAACAATTTCATAATTTCTTAAACGAAAAACTTGACTTAAACATTACTTACTTTTCATTTCAACCATTCGTTTTACACTCGGTCGAGCGGCGCATTCGAGTAAAGAGTTAATTTGAAATTGAGTAGATATCAAAGGATGATTACAACTCTCATGCGCATATGCAGGATAGGAATCTTGTTATAATAATGATTATATTATAATGATGATGATGAGTGTGCTTTTCGGAAGGTGCCTATATTACGGAAGGCCTGCAATGTATATCTAAGCGCGCCGTCGTAAGCAAGTACAAGAAGAGAAGTAAGAAGTAGCCGAAAACATTTGTTCGGACATCGCAACGCCGCGGACTCTATATTAATAATTCATTGAAATAAACCGTATAATTATAAATCCAATTTTGTGCTACGGAGCGTTGCTGTAGCTTT